TAGCGTTACAAACGGTAAGGCAAATTTAGTATACCCTTCGAACATACGTTCGTACGGGTATAATTACTAAGTCATAAGAACAACCAAATTATGATTTTATTAAATTTTTTAATAAAAATTAAGTCAGAATATTGTTGTATTAATGTCATTATATATTATAATAGTTATTGAGTCCAATATAACCCATCTTCTGCGACTTTCGTCGAATACAAAATTCGAGTTACGTACATACATATATAGTTATTTGAGTTAGAGAAATAAAAATAATTAATATATAAATAATCGGGACTTCGATTTTCATTGATGAATTTGCGCGAAGCCAAACAATTCTATATTCATATGGTATATTTTAAAGGAACTTACTGCAATTCAGACGTTCATGTTAAAAATAAAAGAAACCGAGGAATTAAATTTGAAAAAACACCTTTAACACCGTAATATTGTTATAAAACACAATAACTTATTCTAAAATTCTTCTTAATTATAATTTTTTTACAATCATACTCTTTAATTATAATTTCAAGCAACTTATAGAATTCCTTGAGTTACCGATAATTTAATTCAAAATTTATAAAAATATTCAAATTTAATCGCATTTCAATATTCGAATTTGGAAAAAATAATAAAAATACACAAAAAAAATCGTATTTAGAGCAATTTATAAGAAAAAAAATCCTATTGAAATTTCTATAATATTTCGGATTTCCAATTGATTTGTTCATTTTAATTCGATTACTAAAATTTCATTGAAATGACAAATTTGAATAAGTACAATGCGAAGAAGAACAATTTAATATATGTACCTAAAAAATTGTTTAATCCCAGAAAATATTGAAAAATTTATTGAAGAATAAAAGTATAAAATGATTTTTTTCAATAATTGGAAAATATAAATTTTTTTTAAATTCTTAAAGCTTTTTTTCCTTTAATAATAGTGGCTTATATTTCGATATTAATTGTATAGAGATATTTTAAGTATTTTGATCGTTTGCACAGAAATTTTAAGTATTATGGAATCGTATCTTTTTATTTATATGTATAAAATAAAGATGAAATTCACGTTATCATATTTTTTGCGTATTATCCTGTTAAGCGTAATTAAATATGGCAAAAACAATAAGAAATTTAAAAAATAGACAGCTATTAAAATGGTTATTGCTATCGTACCCATAATAATGCGACAACTGCAACAAACAGTTGACGATCTTTGCAACCAAAGAATTTTTAATCAGCTTATCTTTTAAGCAAACCGAAGTTTACAAGTTTGACATTTGTTTTCAAACATTTTTTCTATAATCATCTGGAAAAATACTCTCAGTACGGAATACGCACACTAAGATCAAATATTTTTCATTCATTGCTCTTATCAATTTCATAAAGATTTTGCCAATTCTTTATATAACCGGAAGGCATTAAGAACGATAACTGAATATGATAATATTAATATATGCAAAAAATTATTTTAAAAATTTCTGTTTTCAAATAATTTTAAAAATCATTTACATATGCATTTGCATTTGCATGCACATTATAGAGAATACTCAAATATTGTATATATGTACTTGTGTTTGTTGGAAAAAATCAAATTAAAATGATCTCTGAATATATTCTGGCTTCGGAAATTATTCAAATGTTGTGAACAATAACAAATTTATTGTTATTGGTAATTTATTTGGTGTACTATCGCCTTATACATAAAAATTTGCTTAATACACTTTTTACACATTTAACAGTTCTTTAATGTTATAAGGGGACACTTGCATATTAAATTGTCAGCTTATTTTATATCCTATTACATCCAAGTACATTACATTTTCCTGGACTTCTTTTAAACATTTTCTTGTCTATAATTTAAAGTCCACAATACGTTTAAACTGCTTAAAATAGAATACTTCTTAAGTCTTTTAAATTTAAGTTCTACTCTTTTGTACACAACATACGAGTATAACATTAATATTTCTTTTATTAAAAAAAAGAACAAAAAATTTTACTTTTATTTTACTAAAAGTAAGAAAATTATTCAAATGTTCACTGATCTTTAAAAAGTCTCGAAATTTTACATTTTCCTACTGTTTTGTAATTAAATGAAGCACTTTATATAAATATAAAATTTTCTTTTTATCCTTATTATATTTATTCAGTGAAGATGAACAAAAAAGTAAGGAGCAATAGAAATCCTTAAAAAAATTTATGTGCATTTTAAAAAAAACTTTTCTCAATTTGCCTTTGGAATGCACTTTTTTTTCAAAAAAAAACAAAACATAACAGATAAAATCACGTTTTGCCTTTTTGATCTTTGATATTAAAAAGTATAAAACCCCTGCAGTTTTTCTATCTTAAAATTTGCATTTACTTTATGTGTACTTAAATGAATTTCATATAAATAAAATCTGAATAACATAAATACTTAAATATATTATACACACTTACATACTTAGTATATTTTATAGCCATAAAATTTTTAATGAGAAAAAATAAAGATATCTAAGGTTTTTACTCTGTGTGCTCCATATTTAGCAATTTGTTGCGTAACTTTATAGTCCAAATTAAAGTTCCTTAAAATAGCAGAAATATAGACACTTATAGATTTAGTCCATGTTTAATCTAACAAATTCGAAAATAAAGACGATTTTATTGCTTTTTTGCATATATGGTAAAATAAACCAAATTACAGATTTGCTTCCTCATCCTCGTATATAACTTAATAATTTTAATTTATTCCATATTACTTTATCCAACGCTTTGATGATTAAATTGCTAACAAATTAAAATTCATTATTTTTTATAATTCAAGTAGAAGTGGTTTTTAATTCTAAGTAAAAATTTCACAAATTTTAAAAGTTTGTCTTGAAATTTTATATTTTGCTTTCGAACAATGTCTGGAGATATACTGTTAATGCTTACATTAAAATAAAGTTGGGTCAAATCAATGGTTTGTATTGTAGCACTTTTCGCTTCAACAAGTGAAAATACTGCTTTGCAAAACAATCGATGTATGCCCACCAAACTATTAAAATTCATATACGAAACTATTTCTGGGATTGCATATATTTAGGATGAACAGTTAATGCAGTTTTTAAAATAAAGCAAAAATAAATTTAAAGAGGGGTTAACATAATGCTCAATTTTGAGGGTTAATTGCGTGAGTTAAGAAAAATAATTATATGTTTTAATGTCATGGAATTTACCGTTACCTTTCTGCATTTATAGAAATTTAGAATTGCGGTTTCGGAAGTAGAAAGTATCAAAAATTCAAAATTTACAAATTTCAAGAGACGATAACTTGAGAAGGGGGAGAGATGGAAAAAAATTTTCTTCTAACGAAATGAACTATTAGTTAATACCTAAAAGCTCCTAAAATTTTAGGCTCCCACATCCTAGAAGAAGGGTCTAGAAGAAAAACAACATCAAAAATTTGAAAAAAAACGGATTTTATGTAACGGTAAATTTTAATGGCCATTTTGTTATTTTAAAGTTCAAGTATAGTATGCCGTGATATAAAAAGCATCCCACTGCTTTTCTGCGTTTATAAAATTTGAAAAATGCATATGATTTAACTACACCACATTTTTTCAAAAATTTTTTGAAAAAATGCTAAAAAATAATAATTTTTAAATGTAAAATGAGTCTAACTTCGATTTTTTCGTTTTTAATTCTAATAGTTCAAGATAAAATTTAATTTTCATGGGCCATATTAAACATATATTAATTAAACATATATTTTATTTCTATATTTTATCTTGAACCTATATTCTATCATGATATCTGAGGCAGAAAGTTTCTTTATATAGAACTAACTAGCAAAAATATTTTTTTCTTTACAAATAAAAATACCAAATAATATAATATTGCCTGAGTGGTGTGAAATATTTTATATTTTATTCTTTCTTAATATTAAGAGTCTATCTTAATTGAATATGTACATAAACAGAAAATGTATTTTTGTTTTTAAAATATTCGTAACTCGAAGTCTCTGTACCTTGAACTTTTTTTCGACAATCAGAGAGCTTACGATATTGTGTTCACCTGTAGTGGCGTCAAATAGAATTTTTTAAAACTAAGCTTAATGTCTTTAATTTAAAATAGATATTTTTTTACGAAAGGAGCAATCAAAAAACGGAAAAATTGAACTCGCAAAGCTTATGTACAATAATAAAATTTAAAGAAATGTAAAATTTTCCAGAGATACCAATTAAATTTATATGTGCCAATTAAACTAAACTATGGTTATTATGATACTTTAAACCATACAAATACTGTTCTATGAAAAAATTAACTGAAATTATATAACAGATTTTCAATGGTAAAGTTACAATTTTCAATGTAAAAATTTTAGAGTTTTGTGCTTGCATGCTTGTATTTGTAATACAATTTAGAAAAACTAGATGGATTTTTGACAAAATAAAAGAACTACACTTGCAAACTCTTGGATAATTCGGATTCATATATCTAATTAGGACAATAGAAAGTTAATTTTTTTTAAATAAATAATTACGTATATTATTATAAAATATATTTTCAAGTTTAATTTAAATAATTTCACCACCTCAAGTATTCCGCTAAATTCATAATGATAGCCAAAAATTAATACTTATGGAAAAACGGCTAAAGAAAATAAATACTTTGCTTTGGAATGCGATCAGGAACGGAACCCATAGTCAGCAGTGCAAACTGCTTTCTAAAAAAACTGCTTTCTTTTTTAAATAATGAAATAACGCTGATTTCTAAATTATAGACGCGTGCAAGTATAATGTACGCAAACTTGCAAGAAATTAGTGCAACCACTTTCTCTTGTTATAGATTTTTTTTAGTTTTTTTATAAATTTATCAAAAAATTATGACTGTTGTAATAAAAGCAATGTTTGTTTTGTTAAAATATTTCATAAAGAACATACCCACATATATAAACAAATTTATATAGCATTTAATATCTACATTTAGAATTTTAATTTTTTTTTAAATTTATTTAAAAAAAAAAGAAAAACTTTTTAAACACTTACATAAAATCATTGTAATATTAAAATTCAATCAAGATTCTATTCTATTTTATTTTCATCGCCTTTACTCTAACGTTCCTCATAAAAATTCCATCAGCATAACACGAGCACTTTGCAAAAGGAAGACTAAAAAACACAAAAAAAAAATAAGAAATTAAAAGAAAATAAAAAGTATCCTCAGGAATTTTAATTTGTTTTCTATAGACAGGCACGATGTACGTGCAAAAAATTATGCAGTAAGTACCGTAAGTATGAAACAATAGTGTAGAAAAGCATTTAGCAATGTACACAATTAAAAAATTACATTTTTACATCAATTATAATTTAACATTAAAATTTTATATATTTTCAAAAAAGCATTTTAGATGAGTTCCTTGCATAAATTGTACACATATTTTTCCTCATAAAAAATTTTCTTAAAATGTGTCCTGTTCGTTTTTATATGCTTTTCCTATATGTGTATATAGAAAGTAATTATTTCATATTCAAAGTATACGTTTATAATATATAAGAATCATTTCTTAAGGTACTTTTAAATACTATAGGATTAATATAGAAGTTCATGAGAAATATACATTCAATCCTTGCAAGAATTTTGTGAAATATGGTTTATATTTTATGTATCAATGCTTGCGATCAAACATAAAATTCTGACTTCTACATTGAATATGTAGAACTACATCGTTTTTAGCACTTTTCCAAAAAATTTTTTTGAAAAAACTGCTTATTAGTTTCACTCTGTCCGTCCGTCCGTCCGTGGACACTTTTTTTGTTTACAAAACTTCTACACCCTTACACCCTTGAAGATAGAAAGCTGAAATTTTATACGTACATAGATCTTTACTAAAAACTTACTTCCGTAGAACAAAATTTTTACCTGTCTCCTCCCCTCTAGAAGTTATACCCCCCCAAAACCCTAAAAATGGCCTTTTTTAACTATTTGTTGCAATGAAACCATAAGCATTTTTGAAATTTTGCAAACGCAGAAAGGCAGCGGCTTGCTTTCCCTAGCGCCGTATACTATAGTTAAATTTTAGAAAAACAAAATAGCCGTTCAAATTTACCGTTATCTAAAGTCCTTTTTTTCCAAATTTTTGATGTCGTTTTTCTTCTAGACCCCAGTCTGTAGAAGCTTGAAATTTTAGGTACTTTTAGACATTAACAAATAGTTCATTTCGTTAGAAGAAAATTTTTTTCCATCTCCACCCCCTCTCAAGTTATCGCCCCTTGAAATTTGTAAAATTTGAATTTTTGACGCCTTATATTTCCGAAACCGCACGTTTTTTCAAATTTCTATAAACACAAAAAGCTAACGGTAAATTCCATGACATTAAAAAATATAATTATTTTCCTTAACTCACACAATTAACCCTTAAAATCGAGCATTATGTTAACCCCTTTTTATATTAATTTTTGCTTTATTTCAAATACTGCTTAAATCGTTCATCCTAAAAATATGCAATCCTAGAAAGAGTTTTGTATATGAATGAAAATAATTTTAATAGTGTGATAGGTATACATAGACTGTATTTAAAAGCAGAATTTTCACTTGTTGAAGGGAAAAGTGCTACAATACAAACCATTGGTTTGACCCAACTTTATTTAATAAATACTCGTATATTCATTTATTATAACTATTAATTTTACCACATATATGTATTTTCTATTTATATGATACTATAACAACTAAATTAAAAAATTTCTTAATACTTTGAATTAATATTTAATCTTAATACTATTTATAAACCATATTACATTTATTGGTACTTATACATTGTATTTTGTTCCCTAAAAATATGCAATGCCAAATAAATTTTTTATTACTGTCAAAAATGTTTGATCATACAAAAAAAGGAACATAAACTATATTGATATGAATACCGTAAATATAGTATATCGAATACCGTAACTATAGTAAATTGTAGTGTTTATCGAATAAGTTTTACAGGGTGCAAGAAAATATTATAAGAGTGAAGACATATACGAAAAATTATAGAATTTCGTCTAAACCTTTTAATCTATTTAACAAAATTTTATTTCACTTGTTTTTTTAATTTCGGATCCGGCATACAATTTTCTAAACGTCACTCATTGAATAAGTTTACATAATTATCATAATTATCGAAAAATAATTATAACTAATACAAGAAGAACCGGAATATATGCTAACATACAAAATCTTATATAAAACTAAAATTTAAATTGCGGCATTTGTAGTTACAGTCATTAATAGTTGACACAAAGAATTATTTTTAAAGTTATGTAAAATTTATTTGCTTTTGATGTTGGAGCAGGAAAAAATCGACAGAAAATTAACATAAATAATAACCAAAATGTTGTGATAATAAGTTAAGAAATACACTTTTAGTAACTTAAGTATACTTTTGCCAATAACTTAATTATATATGGAAACCACTGTTCCACTGTATGGAGTTTGTAGTATTCTGATTTCTTCTAATCTTGACAAACTTCATACAAGAGTAAATTGTTTAAGTAATCTAAAGAATTTATTATTTTCTAAATAGATTATTAATTACAAATCAATACACAATACAACTCCTAGTACAGCGAAAAAATTTTAAATGACGTTATGACTGTAACAATGTATAAATTTTAATATTTACAAAAATATTAAATACAAATATAATGTGAGATCATTAATCATATTTTTCACTAAAATCATGACATATGAATTTCTCAAAAAAATTTTAATCCAAAAATTCACAACGAAACACGTTGACATTTTTAAATATTCTGAAATTTTATTGACGTTATTAATATTAAATGAAAGATAAATTTTCTAATATATATACATATATACTCAGGCCTGATTTCTCTTATACCTTAATATCATCTTTTATATCGTCCATTATTAAAACTTATAATAAGAAAAAACCCTAACCTTTTTGGGATATTTAATAAATTTTACAGTATGTTAAAAAAATATATCACAGTAATTGAACCACGCATCAAGAAATTACGTTATGCTTTTTGATTCAGAGCATATCAAAATTTTTTACAATTAAAGAAAATTTTCAAATTTTTTTAATATAGCCCTTTATTACTGCAAGATATTTAGTATTAGTAAGCTTTTTCTAAAAAGTTACAGTTTTCATTTAAATAAAATACACTTGTTATTTAAATATTAAGACAAATTATTATGCAAAATTTAAAAATATTATCGAAAGTCCAATTTAATTCGTCTATGCCACAAAATCAGGCAATTAATGTTATAATCATCTCGATTTTCCATATTTCGTGATGTGTTTTGACATAATTGATTGTTTTGACAAATTTGAATATTTGCTCTCTAGAAAGTTACAATTCATTTGGAAATCACAAGAAATGTTAAAATAAAATTCATAGCAGTTTTTTATTAAAATTATGTGAGCAAATTAATAATGAAAATTATGTAGTTTTTGATTCTGTTAAGTACTGAAACATAACAACCACTATTAACGAAATTTGCTCTACTTACAGTTATTTGTTCTTCAGTTTTTATATTTGATTATTTAGCCCTATATAAAAATTAGCCCTATAATTTCAATAATTTTAAAAGCAGTGCCATTTTACTTTTTAAGTTCTTTGATAGTTCGTTAGCCATTAACATTATTGCCAGAATCGTAAAATAAACAGTGTTTACTATTTTATTTGGCATTTACTACCCATTTCGAAAAATTTGACAAGCTTAACCTAATTACTTTTTAAACTAAAGTAGACACTAGCAGACAGATACAGTAAGTGCAAATACAATTTATTTGTGAAACTACTATGACTCTGCGTAAATATTAGAATTTTACTTGCATAATATAGAGAAATAATTTAGTATTCGTTTACGAAAACCATGTTTCATCAAATAATTATTATAAAAAATTATAATGATTTTCATTTCATAAATTAAACTAGAATTTTAATCAAACCTAATTTTGCTTTCCTATTTTCAGTTTTAAATTTTTTTTCTCTTTCAAAATTTAAAAACTACATTCTGAAAAGAAGAGACCATATTAACAAACAAATTTCAAAATATAGATACTATGCGGTCTGCAATACAAGTACATATGCAAAATTTCTCTAGAGAAAATCCCAATTACTTTAATAAATTAAAGTGATCCTAATTTAAATAAAATAAATGTGGTCAAAATGTGACATACGTAATATAAACAATATACACATATGTAGTAGCATATTATGTTTATTTAATATTACATTTATAATACAACATTCATATATTTAGAATCATGCAAATTTAATGGTATTGCTGTGTAAGTAATTTGTATTAAGCATAAAAAAATTTTTATGTAAATATACGAGCATTTTATTTGGTCCATCAATGTGACAAGGATTTAAAAACAAAAAAAAAACAAGATTATCAAACCTCCATTTGTCTTTTTGAAGGATTTTATCAGTAAAAATGTAAGCACGTTTTCCCATTAATATATACACATACATACATATATAATTCGTTTTTATTTCTAAATAAAAACTGAACAAAATAAAAAAAGTTCAAGGTCCGATTGGTCGGTATAGTTTTCTTTTCATTGTTTGTTGCATATTTTTAGAGTAACAAAAATCAATCACTTTCATGTAAAATATTGCTTATGCATATGTATGTATATATAACATTTTTACATATTTACTCAAAATACAAAAATATTAAGAAAGCTTCAAAAAATTCTTAGAAAATTTGGAAGAAATATACTAAGTTCATTTTCTACGTAGCAAATATCGAACTCTTATGTTCATAATTCCATTTTCTTTGTAATATTTAATACAAATCGCTCTATGCTAAGTTTTGAATATTTGAAAATTCTTATTTATTAGAGTTGATCAAGCATATTGTAAAATGTTCAGGATTAGATGAAGTTCCTGAAGTAAAGCCAAAATGAGCCTAAGTGTAAACTAGCCTATAAACCTAATGAGCCCTTGCTGAAAAATATTTCGTTTTACTTATAGACTGGTAATTCGTATAATTCTTCTTACCATATATTTGAAATTGAATTGAATTCTAAAATAGCATATTTTACTTTAGAAAACGAATCTTATAAGCTTTAAAATGAGTAAACAAAGTTGGAAGTATCTGTCAAACCTTCGAAATTATAAGAAATTATTATAAACGAGAAAAAAAA